GGACCTAGGTTCAATTCCCAGCACCCACAACAACACTGTTCAAAAACTGTAACTCTACTCCTGGGGGATCTGATGCCTTCTTCTGGTTTCTGTGTGCACCAGACTTTCAAATGGAACACAGACATACATGCAGATAAAACACAAAAATAAACAAATCTTTACCAAAAAAAAAAGAACTTATTTTACTGGGCATGCCTGTAATCCTATTAGGAGGCTGAGGAAGGAGAACTGGGTTTGACTGGTCTTTGGCCTCAAATATAAACAAAAATTCACATTATGTATCCTCACAAAATGGTCTGTCTTTTTTATTCATTCCTCCAATATTTTTGTAGTGCATTTGATTTTCTTATTTCCTCTTATGTATATTCTGCAGCAAATTTATCTGGTTTCTGTAGGAATTACATTTATTATCCCAAAGCCATAACAATACAATATGAATTTATCAAGTTTCCTCACACACCATAAGACCAGCAGCAGACTGCATTTGTGTGTGTGCATACGGGAAGATCTGCAGACAACTCATTCTTTGCTGGGTGTAGGGATTGACTTAGGACCTTGGGCTGCAGCAGGTGCCTTTACAGCCAAGTGATCTCATTGGCCCTCGTTTTGCATTTCCTACAAGGATAGTATAATAAATGAATACCATTTATTATGGTAAATATAAGGTATTTTGTAAATACCTTAACCTCATCCTTACTTTAGGAAGATAGCTTTGCCTGATAAAGAATTCTCAGTTGACAAGTTTTCTTTTGCATTAATTTACAAAAAATTATTTATGTGTATGTACCTGCTTGTCTGTGTATACACCATGTACATGAAGTACCCATGGAGGCCAGAAGGCATCAAATCCCTTTTGAACTGAAGTTACAGGCAGTTATGAGATGCTCTACGTGGGTGTTGACTGCTGAGCCATCTCTCTAGTCTTTCTTTTGCATTTTGAGTAATATAAAAGTGTCTTCTATCTTCCAAGGCTTTGAAAAAAATCAGTGATAATCTTAGGAATTGCTTGCTTTAATAAGTCATTTCTCACTTGATATGTTCAAGATTCTGTGTTGTCAACCCTCATATATCTGTGTCTTTCCAAATGTGCCCGCTTTTCTTGCATGTACACATTCTTCTTTGGGGGGAACTATGATGCTATCTTGTTCGTACAAATAAAGCTTACTTGAAGATTAGAGGGCAGAGCTAGTCACTAACCATAGAGGCCTGGAGGTCTGTACAGACAGACAGGAAGTGATATGGCTGGGCAGAGAGAGGAAGTGGTAATGTGGGAGGAGACAGGAACTCAGTTTCTTGTCAGCTAGGAAGTTAACAATGTAATGCAAATTTCTAGCCTTTGAAAGTTATTATTCCCAACTATTTAGGATAATAAGGAAATGCAGGTTAGCAATTAGTTATCTATTACAGTCTAACTTGTAGTCATACGGGGTATGTTTTCAAGGTCAAACAGACATATTTTAGCTAGACAGGTCCTCTTCAAACACTTCAGAGAGCTGCAGAACATGGCATTTAAGATGTTTTAATAACATAGGTTCTTTTCTTTTTTTATGACAATGAGACATGTTTGCTCCTGGCAGCACCAATCCACTTCCGAGAAGATAATGGGCATCGAAGAAACTCCACATGGAGTTTACTTTCTTTGTGGAAAAGGTTAGTCACTGGGCAAGAAAATGCCCTTGCCTTGACTGCTGACAGTATGCTGTACAAATTGAACAAGTAGGACACAAAAGAAAGTGACTGCCAAACTTTGCCAAGAAAAGGTAGAACAGCCCTTCAGAATACCCTGCTTCATAAAAAGCCTGTCAGATATGCTAAGTCTGTAGGCAAAAGATGGATGCCCCAACCTTGCAGAGGAACCTTGGGTGACTGTCCAGGCAGCCAGCTCTTTATGTCATTTCCCACATTTTTTTGGAAGTTGCTTCCTTGTACTTTCTGCTTACTCTGGTAATATTATTTTCTTCTCAGGTCTCTGATGGAGTTGAAGACTTCATAGTTATTGTTATAGTTTTCCTTATTACCAGATTCAGAAAAGAAATTCACTAAAGAAATGTAAAGTGTATAAGGTTGAGATACAAAAAAAAAACGTACATAAAAACTTGGTAATGCAAGTTAGAATAGAAAGTAAATTAGGTACAACTTTTGGACTCACCAAGATAGGATAGATATGGAGTATTTTCTCTGAATTTGTCAATTGTTAATGAACTAGACATTGTTAATGTATTTATTACCTGTATATATTGTATACAGTTATTATACTTACTGTATATAGTTTTTCTTATATTAGTTATAACCTTGCTCTCTTAAATTTTAGATAAAAGGGGAAGTATGATATCTTATTTGTAAAAATAAAGTTTGCCTGAAGATCAGAGGGTAGATCTAGCCACTAGCTAACCATAGAGGTCTGGAGGTCTGTACAGACAGACAGGAAGTGATATGACTGGATGGAGAGAGGAAGTGAGAAGGTGGGAGGAAACAGAAACGCAATCTCTTTTTGGCTGGAAAGGTGGCAGTGGCTTGGCTCTTTCATCTCTCTGATCTCTCAGCATTTCCCCTATATCCAACTCTGGGTTTTTATTACTGAGACCTATTAGAAGTTGTGGCTACAGGGAATTTTAAGCTTTTCTGGGCTCCTCATCTATGTCTAAGTTTTACAACATTTTTATAGCATGGTGGCTGTGGTGGTTTGGATGAGATGTCCCCATAGTCTCAGACACTTGAACACTTGGTTCCCACTTGTGACGCTGTCTGGGAGGCTTAGGAGGTCTGGCCTTACTGTGGGTGGGCTTTGAGAACGTAAGGCCTGGCTCCACTCCTAGTTTGTCCCCCTTGTGCCTACTGCTAAGTGTGTGAGCCCTTGGCTTCCGTTCCAGCTTCCACACCTCCACTCTGCCATCATGGACTCATCCCTCTGGAACCACCAGCCTAAATAAACTGTGTTGTAATCTCCCTGGTCATGGGACTGCATCACAGCACTGGGAAAGTAACGAGTACAGGGTTCCATGGGCTCCTTGTTTCCTTTTATTCTTTAATTTTTTAAGGCTTAATAACTTCCAAATTTGCTCTGTGTCTACTCAAAGCCACTCTAGGGCACCTCTGGGGGATTTTTCATTTCTGTTATTACACTGCTTTTTAGTTTCTTTATATATATTAAGTTTTGTTTTTATTTATACATTTCTTAACAGAGGTTGTTCATGCCTTCCTTTACGGTTGTGAGCATTTTTAAGTCTTGTGCAATGACTGATAGCTTGATTTCCTCTGGGATAAATTGTTCATCTCTAGCTTTTGGATATATTATGTGTTCCTGATTTTTCTTTGTGTTTGTGACTTTGTTGATGAAAGTTAAAAATGTTGAGTCTTATGGAATTATACCTCTGAAAATCAGTCTTAGGGTTTGTTTTTGTTGACTGGACGGTCTCTTGGTGCTGTGAGTCAACCTGAATGGAAAGCCTGGAGTCTTCTCCACTCCTTTCTCCTCCTTCCCCGACCATGTTTGCTGGACTGCTAAATTTGCCCTTACACCGGGTTGCTTTTGAATGTCCTGATCATTAAAAGACGGGCTCCCTAGATGGCAAAAATTTGTATTTATTTTTACTTCTTGTGTATGGGTGTTCTGCCTGTGTGTCTGTCTATGCACCACCCATGTACTGTGAGACGTGGTTGGGAACCACTGTGGGTACTGTTAATAAACTCAGGTCACCAAAGAGCAGAGCAGCCAGTGCTCTTAACTGCTGAGACACCTCTCCAGCCCCGAATTAATCTTTACCCACAGGTGGCATTCCTTTAAACCCTGTGGGAGTTACTTGAGCTTGGGGAGAGGACACATGACAGCCAGCTTCCATGCTTGCTTCTCAGGAAGCAGAAAGAGCAGCCGCCACACAGCACCCCACTTGGAGGGCAAGGTGTTAGGCTCATTTGGCTCTGGCAGCTTGAACCAGACATGCACACAGGGTTGTCACTGGCTAAGCCACTGAAACTGGTGGAAATTAACCACAATGTACCAATCAAGCTTACTTGGACAGTTAGCTTCAATGTTAACACAGGTAGGATTGCTACTGAGCTGGAATTATGGATTCCCGGTGCCTTCTGATGTATGATCTGTGACATCATCTTCCTTCCATAAGTTTTAAATGGAGTACCTTTATTAGCATTTCTAAAATAAATTTGTAAGTCATTTCCTCAATAAATAGAATGGTGAGCGAATTGCTAAGGGTTTAACTCATAGTTGGATTCTATTAACTGTCCACATGTATTCAAAAAGAATATAAACCAAAAGGCTTTTACTGCTCAAATGCATGTCGTTATTTTTGTTGTACTTGATCTACTAGTCTCCAAAACAAGTGTGCTATACTATTTATCTTTCCATTTTCCCTGTACTTTGGAATTGATTCCAGCGTAGAGTGCAAGTAACTTTCCTTTTCTACAATTTTTTCGAATTCATATCATGTTCTATATACATTTTAGCATATAGTTCTAAAAATATTGACAGATAGTAAAAATATTGTTTTCTAGGCAAGAAAAGAAAACATGCCTTCGCTTTTCATCTCACTCAGACACGCTCATCACTTTCCTCCAATGATCCAGAGCTGTGTGTTGTCTTCCTTGCTTTTAATTCCAAACTGCATAGCAACACCTGCCCATTCCACTTGTGTCTCTGCCCAACAGTTTCACACAGTTCCTCATTCCTAGGGATGAAGCGCCCATTCTATTAGAACACATACATTTTCCTCTTAGAAAGGATATATGTGTCAATTTTTTTGATTCCTGAAAATGTGTTGACCTTTCCTACTTTAGGAACACTGACCGTAAGATTCTGGGCTAGCGTTATTTTTCTATAAAGAAAAAGAAAGATATGACATGCATACCTAAAAAGATGAGAGAGGCTTCGTACAACAGGAGGATAACATTGAGGCTTTGGGACTCACAGGGCTGTCTGGGCAATAGAATAGAACCTTGTCTTAAATAAATAAATAAACATACATACATACAAAAAAAGAAAGAAGTATGAGTAAAAAATCGCATTTTTATTTTAAACTGAAATGTGGAAATTCTACCACTTGACTGGAAAACAACAGAAGCAATATTCTCTTTGGCAAAGCTCTGCACACTGGGATTTGAAATGACATAAACATCCCACCAACACAACAGCTTATTTGAGCTTGTGAATGGCATCTACATTTTATTGACAAGTCAGAATACAGATTCTGTGAAGGAAATCAGCTTTCACAGAAATATACTTTTAATCTGAGAGATCAGGAACTTGATCCAAAGTTACACAAGTGAACAGCAAAGACACAGAACTTCTAAAGGCGGCAATGTTTCAAAGAAGCAAAAGTGAGGACAGGAAGTATATACTGAAGGGAAATTCTCACTGGAGGATCACAAAAGTCAGTTCCACATCGAGGCATTAAGGTCACAGCTACAAAGGCCTGCAGACATAGTGTGCAGAAGTCCTGAAGAAGCTGGACAAATACAAACGGTTCACACGTGGGAGCTATTGACCTTTCTGGTAAATGTAAGAACATCAAGGTGGAACACGCATGCCCTGCACAGCACACTGTCAGCGTGGAGACGAAAACGAGCATTTCTAGAGGCTTACTAAAAATTTAGAGACGGCAGGGTACATCTTCAGGGGTCAGAAGTGCTTGCATCTCCCTCGTGAACCAAGTGTCCCTAGAGACAAGCATGGCTGTCAGGGCCCTGGGCACCGCTACTCTCGTGTTCCCAGTGGAGACAGGGAGTAACCTCCAAGCTTAAGGAGGACCTTACTTCTCAGTCTGACCCACTGTGCTGCTTTAAGAAAAATTTACTTGTTTTTTCACCTTTATGGGTGTTTTGCCTGCAGGTATGTTTGTGCATCATTTGTGTGTCCGGAGTCCACAGAGGCCAGAAGACGCGTTAGATCCCTGGAACTGGAATTAGACAGGTGTGAGCTATCGTGTGGGTACTGGGAATCACACCCAGGTTCTCTGGAAGATCAGCCAACGTTCTTCACTGATGAGCCATCTCACCTCCAAACAGAACCAACCTTCCCACAAACAAGCAAGAATCTAGGTTTTTGTTTTTCAGTCTAAACACTTCTGAGGATCAGGAAAAGAAATAGTGGGACAATTGACTTCTGTTAGAATTTCTAATGAAAAAATAATTTCTGACAGAGTATATGGCTATTAGATACCATGTGTGATGATCTGATGAAAATGACCCCCATAGGCTAATGGGGCGTGGCCGTGCTGGAGGAGGTGTGTCAATGGGTGCGGAGCCATTCCCAGTTAGAGAGTCTTCCTCAGCCTGCTGCTGCCTGGCTCCCTGACATGATGGAACCTCGGGCCTTACATTAAGTGCTTTTTTTTTGTAAGCTGCTTTGATCAAGGTGTCTTTTCACAGTATCAAAAATAGCTAAGACTCCATGATATCAAGGACCAATGATTAGGAAAACATTTTCACAACCTAATAAGAAAAGGTGTGAGGGAATCAGAGTCCTGCTAAGATCAGAGGAGCATACGTGATGCTAGTGATGTGTGTTCTGGGTCATGGGGTCAGGAGCAGCCTCTGAAACCAAACCAATGGACATTTTTTACAGTGCATGTGGGATAAACCTCTTAAAAGAAGGACTTGTTCTTTCCTTTAAAGTGCGGTTCCAGTTGCCACCTCCTTGCTGGTACGGCTGGGTGGCATCACTCTGAAGAGTCTCTGAAGAGGGCAGAGTCTGGGTGCTTCATTGTCTTTCCACACTTCCTGGAAGAAGCAAACACTCCTGGAGTTAAGTTGGTGGGCCCCAGTCGGGAAGCTGCCGCATGTGACCTACTGATTCATTTTAAGATGCTGGCGAGGACTCTACCTGGAGGACGCCTAGTATCTTCTCCACTGGTCATGCTCATACTGCCTGCCTCCTGCACCAAACAGAAACAAAACCCAAGTAAGAAGCACTGTCTCCAAACAGTAGCTCAAGGAAGTGGCTCTGTTCTAAGTGTGCATAAAGACAGACTGCTGAGTTGGACTGGAAGACAGAACATTTTTCAGTTGTGACCACCTGTCATTAAATTTTGTTCTATAATTATTTCATTAAAGTGGAAGCAATTAATTAGGAGGTAGTGCTATTAGTGGAAGGAAACTGTCAAAATTGTTTCTCCTGGTGCCAGTTCTAACCATCTGCAGGACATCTAGATGTTTATTACTGCTAATGACTTTGGAAATGGAAATTCATATGCAGATGGCTAAGAGGACTTCCTGCCAAGCACAGAAAAAGCCACGTGTGGCTTTTCCAGGGCTGAGCACACAAGCCCCCCAACCCCACAGTGTAGCTGGCCACTTCCTGCCCCTGACAGACACTTATGTTGGGAAGGGACTTGGAGCAGAGCTAGCCTTGAAGAAAACTGTTTCCATATCTTAAAGATAACACTTTTTGGTTGGGCATGGTGGTACTCAGGACGCAGGGGCAGGCGGATCTCTGAGTTGCAGGCAGGATAACGACACACAGTGAGGCTCTTTCTCAACAACACTCTTGGCTTTCTTTGGTACATGAAAGCAATGGCTTTAACACGCCCTGCCTAATGACCCCTAAAGTGTGAGTGATGGCCCTAACAGGTGTCCAGATTAATACGACCTCACCACCCTGTCATCTCCACTCCCAGTCCTGTGGCCTCCTACTGTGCAGGCCCCTCTCGGTCACCATGAGAAGGGGCAAAGTGAAGAATCCCACCTAAGTTTACAGCTCCTTAATGGAATTTAACACATTTTTTCCTCTCCAGCTGGGCTGAAAAATAGCAAGGGAGAAGTCAAAACTTCAACTCTGGTAGCCATTTGGTCACGGGGTGGCTGGGATGGGTGGACCTCAGACTTTGATGATGACCACCTCTGGGGTACACCTATCTGCCAGGCTGCAGTCACTGCAGTGACCCCGAGACCTCAGCTCCCACAGGGCCCATGTCAATGCAGTTAGGTCCAGACTCTGAAAATGTGTCAACTATGACAAAAGGGATCACTGCCATTTTGAACATAAAGCATTTTGAGTCTTTTTTTTAACATGAAGAATGTTGTCAACTTTTTTCTGATCTTGAAACAGTAACAACTTTCTACTTTATATGTTGAAGAAATACAAAAATATTTAGGCCAGGGAAAAACTCACTATAAAAATGTACTGGCCCAAAACACCACCTCAGTAATTTCACAGAAAAAGGAGACTGCCTGATCTTTAAAACAACAACAACAACTCCAACTAAAAACCAGCTATGTAAGAGTTGGTGTTGCACACAGCACTGAAAAGCACTAATGCAGCAGCAGCAGGGGCGGCAGCAGCAGGGGCAGCAGTAGCAGCAGCAGCAGCAGGGGCAGGGGCGGCAGCAGCAGGGGCAGCAGTAGCAGCAGCAGCAGCAGCAGGGGCAGCAGTAGCAGCGGCAGCAGCAGCAGGGGCGGCAGCAGCAGGGGCAGGGGCAGCAGCAGCAGGGGCAGCAGCAAGAGCAGCAACAGCAGCAGCAGCAACAGCAGCAGCAGCAGCAACAGCAGCAACAGCAGCAACAGCAGCAGCAGCAACAGCAGCAACAGCAGCAACAGCAGCAGCAGCAACAGCAGCAGCAGCAGCAGCAGCAGCAACAGCAGCAACAGCAGCAGCAGCAACAGCAGCAACAGCAGCAACAGCAGCAGCAGCAGCAGCAGCAGCAGCAACAGCAGCAGCAGCAGCAGCAGCAGCAGCAGCAGCAGTAGCAGCAAGTGGCCTGTGGACTTTCTTCTCCATGAGCAAGGTGCCAACGAAGCCCTGTCGTTGTTCATATTCTGCCCCTAGCTGCTCTCAGAGTCACCTCTAGCCATTCAAGTGGACATCAACCCAGCCCTAGGCTGCTCAAATTGGCCTTCTGGTCTCAGGTCTTCCCAGCCCAACCTTCACAGTCAAGACTGTGATTATGTTTCTATTATAACCCAATAAAATAGAGCTGTCCTTCAAAGTCCCAAGTCTCAAAGCGGGACACAATATCTATGCGGTTTGTAGGCTTTCACATGTGACCAGTACCATGTTTCTGTTTTCAAGTGACCAGAAAAACAGGGTAAATGGGTTTCTCTGGTCTTAAAGCTAGAAAATACACAGACTACTATAGACTCCCAGTGTGTCAAGTTTACTGTGGCCAAGTAGGTGGACAGAAGCCAACTCCCTGCTGGAACTTTCCAGCCTGGATGAGCAGTAAATCAGTCGGCTGAGCAAGGAGATTTGCACTGCTGCACAGTCACTGGCTGGACAGGACCGACTGTCCAGGGCCTTGTGTGCCCCCAGGGCCTTGTGTGCCCCCAGGGCTTGCACATCTGCACCAGTGACAACAGCCTGCTTATTGCTTTTGATTGTCTGGCATTTTCTTTATATGTGTAAACATAATTTCCAAGATATATACATCAGAAATGAGATTTCAGAAATTGGTGGTTATGGGTATGCATACTGAATTTAGAACTAAAACACTGGGAAGCATGACATTATTCACTGAGTCAACAGGAGTGAGACCTTCGTCCCCATCGCTGCCCTTTGGAACTGAAGAATCAATCATCCAGCACTTGAAGAATATGCATGCCCAGTAAACCACTGGAGAGCGCACAATCAGGGTACCCACAGCTGTCCAGACTTTGTTTACCACATCTGTTTTATTAAGCTGCTGAGTGCCAGAGTCCCCAAAAGGGATGTCAATGCTAGGTTATAGAACCGTGGCTCAGGATGCAGACAAAAGGCCAGGAGGCAGTGGCATGTAGAATGCTGGGGACATAAAATCCTGCAGTTCAGAGAGAATCCAGTCCTGGAGATGCAAAAAGTCCAGGAGAGTGTATGGTACCAGGCCAGGCCATCGCTGAGACCTCTGATGTGTGACAGAGCTGCAGACCACCTGGGTAAGACCAGGAAATCAGGAGAAGCATGGCATACATACAAAGAACCACAAGAGCTGTGGCTGCTGCCCTGAGTTCTTCAGTTTCCCATGGTACCAATTGTTTTTATAAACACGAACGGAAAGAGCACTCTGGAAAGGATTACCTTGGGATAGGATTACATGTCCTTGGAACAACTGATGACTAGCCTTCACTGTACTTCCAGTCCTTGAATTCCTACAGCTCCTGACCTGTGGTTTCCTCCTTCTCAGGTTTGAGCCCAGCAGGAGGCCCCGGCCACTTTCTCACTAGCCTTCTGCTTCGTTGTCCTAAACTTTTGTCTACATGTGGCTAAGGCCTCTAGCCTCATCACCGGTCACAAGGACCCACCACATAGGTAGGATGCATCCTGGTGCCATGGAGACAGCTGTCACAGTGGTGGGACACACAGACACCACGCTATCTCTGGGATCTTGGAATTGTGCAGTGATGCGGGTACCAGGGTGGACATCTCTCTGGCAGAGCATCTCTCCTAGGGGGGCACTCTATTCTCTTCTGTGAGACATGCTCAGTACTCTGCTAAAAGAATGTGAAGAAATCAACACCCCCATGACCAACAACAACCCAAGGAAGAATGGGTTCCCCTGGTGTATTTGAAACATATCCCTGTAACTGCTGTCATCACACTAGGGGTGAGAATAATCCAATTCTTGTGACATTCTTCCTGAGCACTCAGCATGGGACAGGGATCTGTGGATATAGCAACTCATTGTAGGGTTCACAGTTTCAGTAGTTTTTCTTGCTTTATTTTTTTAAGTGCAGCTATGCTAAGGAATATCTGTTAGGAAAACCAAAGGCACCGAGGTGCTGGTTGTGAAGCAGTGGTGAGGAAATGTAGCTCTCACTGTCCTGAGAGCTGCAGGTGAGGTTACTAAGGCCCAGGCTTCCCAAACTGGCATGGGCCTGTTTCTATGGCACCTCTGTAAACAGTACCCTTCCTACTCACCTGCAGGACTTATACTCATCCACCAACCAGCAAAGAATCACAGCACTGTGGAGCCCTAGGTACACAGGCTGATTGATGGAGCTGCCTGACAGAGACCAAGGAGCCTGGACAGTTACCTAAGACAGACATCAGACACAGTCAGTCTGACAATACTAGTGGTGCTCTCCTGTATCTAGTGAAGAAGCAAGTTTCCCTAGAGAACTACAACCTCTTATTGCCCAAACTGAACAGTTGTCATTTAGTTTAGCATAAAGATTTTGTACATGGGAATGGGGTAATGGCAGGCCAAAGAGGACAGTGCTGTCTACAGCCTGGACACTGTACAGCGTGCTGTCTACAGCCTGGACACTATACATACATGCTGTCTACAGCCTGGGCACTGTACACTGTACACGCGTGCTGTCTATAGCCTGGACACTATACATACGTGCTGTCTACAGCCTGGACACTGTACACGCATGCTGTCCACAGCCTGGACACTATACATACGTGCTGTCTACAGCCTGGACACTGTACACACGTGCTGTCTATAGCCTGGACACTATACATACGTGCTGTCTACAGCCTGGACACTGTACACACGTGTGCTGTCTACAGCCTGGACACTGCACACACGTGCTGTCTACAGCCTGGACACTGTACACATGTGCTGTCCACAGGCTGGACACTGTACACGTGTGATGTCCACAGCCTGGACACTGTACACGCGTGCTGTCCACATCGTGGACACTGTACACGCGTGCTGTCTACAGCCTGGACACTGTACACATGTGCTGTCTACAGCCTAGGCACTGTACACTGAACATGCGTGCTGTCTACAGCCTGGACATTGTACACGCATGCTGTCTACAGCCTGGGCACTGTACACACGTGTGCTGTCTACAGCCTGGGCACTGTACACGCGTGCTGACTACAGCATGAGGGGAGTCCTTCCTCAGCAGCAGCACAGGAATGGCCTGAGCTCACTGCACCAGGACTGAAGAGCTATTGTGTTTTAGAACAGTGATCTGAGCCACATGGGAATCTGCACACACCAGTTTACAAAAGCAAAAGTCACATTTGAGTATGATTCTATAAAAGGACAAAGCCATAAGTCTTAGGTAATTTTAGTCTATCAAGTTTAGTTTAGCTCTGAAACCTAAAAGGAATTTGAATTCAAACACTGATAAGAGGTTCTCTAAATATTTAAGTACAAATAATTGCATATCAAATTAAGTACAGAGTGATTATCAATACACCCATATGATATATAAGAAGCTGCATTTCTAACTTATAAATGTGATCATGACATGAAAGAGAGCAGAACACTTCTGTCTGAGCCCTCTATTAGTGACCTTAGAAAATCCTTTGGGTAAATTATAAAAATCAAGTCTTCAAGAGAGGGATAAACTGGTAGAAGATAAAGCAGTAGGAAGCAGACATATCACCATCAAGCAAGATTCTTATTATTTGTCTCTATTCCATTAAACAAAGAATTAGGTATGCCAATGCACCAATCTCTTTTCTAATTGTAAATATATAACTGGTTTTTAAACACAGGAAATGCAGCAGCTTCAGCACAGACACAGCAAAAAGGAATGAAGCACCTATGAGCAGTTGAAGGCTGGTGCGGTAGCCTCTTACCTGGACCCTGATCTCTCCATGGCTGCCCTTGCCCAGGATGGCCATGTGTGGAGCCTGTCCTGTGGGAGCTGGAGCCCTGTCTCCCCAGCCTCCCTGTGGGAACATGGTCAACACATCAGCACACCAGCACTCATTTTGTCATAGTGTACAAATGACACCAGGCCAGCAAACCTTCAGTGTGCACACAGCAGCAGAACAGGACCAAGACTACAGAAAAGGCCTCAGAAGGGGTGCAGCCAATCTGTACTGGAAGCCAAATGGTGGCTTACGATCAGTACTAAGAAATATCTCACCACGTGTCTTTAAAATGGAGTCTTGGGGGGCTGGAGAGATGGCTCAGTGGTTAAAAGCATTGTCTGCTCTTCCAAAGGTCCTGAGTTCAATTCCCAGCAACCACATGGTGGCTCACAACCATCTGTAATGAGGTCTGGTGCCCTCTTCTGGCTTGCAGACATACACACAGACAGAATATTGTATACATAATAAATAAATAAATATTTAAAAAAAAATAAAAAATAAAATGGAGTCTTGGTGCTTACCCAGACTCTGCCAGAGAGGTAACTACTGCAAAAGCTATTTCTCCAACGAGGAGGCCCACCTCCAGCCTCTCTTCAGAAAACACAACCATATGGATGATTTCCCCTTGAGCATATTCCTGGGATGTGGTGAGCTCTCTTTTTATACTCTGATGTCTTCCCTGTCTCACTACCTCCCGCTAACCACGTACTATCTTACACTTTTTAAGGTATCTTTATTTCACATGCTCCACAGAAAGAGTTGAGTTCCTACACAAGTGCCAACCACGGACTCGGCAGTGTGTCTGCTAGGCAGCGTGGCATTTGGCCAGGAACCCCAAGTAAAACACATGTATGGCAGGCCCTTCAGAAACCAAACTCCTCTTCTGTCTGGAGCCACTTGGACAAACAGGACAAGCACCCAAGTGATCCACCCACCAGTGAGGGTAAAAGATCAATGCACAACTTATGTGATGCCTGAGACCCTCCAAGGGAGCAGGCGCTTCCCCCAGGGTCACCTCTTGCTTGTCTGGGCCAGCCATCCCCTGATCCCATTTCCCTCAACTACCAGAGCAGCTGCTATCCTAAGAGTGCATTCTGATAACAGCACTTCAAAACCTCCCAAAGTTCCTCAATTTGTAATGGATACAAACATCAACTCTCTTAAGCTCAATATTAAGAAGGATTCTATACCCAGCTCCTACTGACCTTCCTCCTGTTGTAATCACTTGAATCTACAGTCACTCTTCTCCAGACCACTAGGCTTCCTCGCTGTGGAACCAGCACCCAGCTTACTGGAATGCCTGTCACTGACACCCTCCCTGTAGAGCCTCTTGGTTGACTAGGATCCACTGCATACGTGGGCAGTAATGGAGGAAGACTGGCCACAGCTTAAAGTGATGAAAGCTATGTGGAAGGGTAGAATCTTGAACTGTAGCACAGCAAGGCCCTTCAGCAGTGCATCGACTTTCAAAAGTGGCCATGTTAGGTCACAGAACCTTGAGTCTTTTTATAGCTCCTATTTAATGATTTTCTTTTTGAGATTATAATTTAATTGCATCATTTCTCCCCCCTCCCACTCGCCCTTTTCTACTCTCTTTCAAATTCAAGACCACTTTTTAAAACTATTCATTACTGCACACATATACACATATACATACTGAATTTTTCTAATGTCCATTTGTTTTGAGAAAAACTAAACCTCAACTTTTGTAAGGTAGACACACACTATCCAAGTAGCCTTTAATAAAGGGAATTGTGGAAAACAGATGATGCATTAGAGAAAGCTCTTCATTCAATTAACAAACGGATCCTTCTTGAGATATTCTTCCTTATGGGTACAGAATTTAAGCTATGAGTATAGCCCAGGCATATTCATCTGTCATAATTTTATCGTTCTTTAATCAGTAAATCACAAGAAAGCAGACAAGTCTACCCAGGGCCCCAGCACGTTACGTGACAGGCAAGGGGACGCACCAACCCTGCCCACCTGTGTAGTGAGAATTCCAGTGTGATCTCCCTACAATGCGCCGGTTCTCCTTGGAGCAGGCCTTGCAGACCACGGCCTTCAGGTTGTGGAACTTGGTGAGCCACGATCTCTGCAAACAGATCAGATGAAAATGCAGGCTGGCCGCATGCTCTGTGAAAGAGTAGGGTGTGAGGTGGCGGGGATGGGGGACCTACTAGCAGTCTCTGTCCCTAGGGTATCAGCCAGCATAGCTGCATAGTCTGCACCAAGTGGAGGCAGTGGTAACCCTCCATTAGCATGACCCCTAGAGGGTTTTGATGACTGTTCCCCTCCTGAGACCCCTGGAAACAGCAGCAAATACCTATGACGCCTGTTTCTATCCTGTGTAGACTAAAGAGTCATGACTAAAAATCTACTCTTGTGATAATCCAAGAACACGGGAGGAATGCTGGGGTCATCACACAGCAGCAGATGGGGGTAAACAGCACTGTTCTCATAGCCCTGAATTATGAGCCAATATTTCATCCTCGATGATTCTTTTAAGTGGGTTTGAGGTACTCAAGGAGGAATCATGTATTCTGAGGTACACAGATAAGGATGACTGGCAGCTGTGTCCCAGATCTGCATCCCCTTCAGTCCCTGCTGGAGCAATGTCCAGAGCTGAGAAAGGGTTTCCTTTCTGCTCCTCTAAGTTCTGAACACTCACAAATCCTGCAACACCCTGGAACTTTGGTGAGAAATGGTGACAGCAACACATTGCCAAATGTTTTCCCTTTGGTGTGAAAACTTGGGAGTGTTTTATCTAACAGATCAGCATGTTCTCTCACAACCACACCGCCTTCTCATCCCTGTGGGTAATAAAACATTCCAAATGAGCTTGGCGGGAAGCCTCATTTGGAAATCTTCCAGGAATCATGAAGCAATTGTACTTAGAAAGCTGGGGCAGCAGTCAGTGTCCCCAGGACATGGGCAGCCTTTTGTAGTAGAAGGCTATCTGCCCAGCCAGTCTGCTGTCTGGGGAACCCTCTGCAGACAGTGCAAGCCCCTTCTTTTAGCTCATTCTCCCTAAAGAAGCAATTAGCCACACAGACACCAGCTGATACGTGGCCACAAGCTACAGAAATGTCAGCACAGTTCTCTTGCAACTCTGTGACCAATGGGACGGGCAGAGTTTCTAGGTACACTACAGTCACTGACTTCACGCCTACTGGTTATTCCGATATACAGTAACCAGAACTCACATTTTGTTCCAGAAGAACCTCCACAGCATATCCCTTCTCAGACTGCAAGTACTTCTGATGGAAAAGTTTGCCGTCAAAGACGTTCCAGGGCATGAATTCGCTTGTTGTCCAGGGGAAACCACATGCGCTGTTGACCAGTATCAACATGGTGAGGCCACGGACGAGGAGGGACCCCAGCTGCACAGCTCTTGAGTTAATGTAATCCAGCTGTGGAGACAGATGTGCACAGCAAGCTCAAGACAGAGAGTGCCAAGCAGAAGTTAGATGGGCGCAGCAAAATGGTGTAACTTGAGGGTGTCAGCCCCATGATGTCTTCAGGACAGGCGTTTGCCAAACCCTGAACATGACACTGGCCTCCTGGACAAGTCTGACTGGAAGAGGCCTGGCAAAGAAGCTGGCAAGAGAAGCATGATGGGAACCCAGACCAGGTACACGCCCTTGTTCACCATCCACCCACTAGGGCAGCGGGCACTCACTTGGGTTCTCTCCTTACACAGATTTGAAACATAACCATCCTGCTTGTATGGTTTGAATTAAAATGGGTCTCATGGGCTCATATGTTTGAATGCTTGATCCTCAGTTGGTGGAACTGTTTGGGAAGGATTAGGAGGTGTGGCCGTGTTGGTGGAGGAGCGTCCTTGGAGGAAATGTGGATCTGGGGGCGGTATTTTGCAGTTTCAGTAGCCTACACCATACCATTCCCAGGTCTCCCCACCTCTCTCTCTCTCTCTCTCTCTCTCTCTCTCTCTCTCTGTGTGTGTGTGTGTATGTGTGTGCACATGCCTGCCTTGGGTTTGTGGATGCTCTCTCCCGGTTAAACTTGCTTGCTTGGTCATGATGTCTTGTCACAGAAACAGATCAGTAATTAAGACACTGTTCTAGGAAAATCTGGGCCAGCACAAGGTGTGGCCACTAGGTAGAACTTACAAGATAATCTTTGGGTTTGTTCCCCTGAAAAACTTTCTTTAAAGACAAAGGGAGAGACACTTCCCATGCTTTCTAAAAGCCATACTTAATCTCATTTCAACTGAATATCATTTAAAAATAAAATGGACATGATGTAATCTCAAAAGGCTGGTGCCTGAGTTTTTATAAATTAAGAATATCTTGCCTCAGCTCTGGCGAAATGGTTTGGCGGTTAAGAGCTGCTCTTCCAGAGGACCTGGGTTTGATTTCTAGCACCCACATGGCGACTGTCTGTAACTTCAGCTCCGAAGGACCCAATGCCCGCTTCTAGCCTCTGCATGTAGAGTTCAAAGCACACATGGTGCACAGACAGACATGCAGGCAAAATACTCATACACATAAAATAAAAATAAAGAAAGAAAATCTCAAGAAAAAAATCTCTTGCTAACACGAACTACTTCTTTTCTTTGCTAAATAGACTTTTATGTTCAACTTTCTTCTGTTCTTGATGGAGGAGTCATCCTTTATGCTACAAAGGGTCCCACAATCCCACAAGAGGCCATGTATTCACCATGGATCTGGAACGCCGAACCACTGCTGGCATCAACACTACAGATGTCTAGGAAACCCCATGGAAACCAGAGCACAATCGCCTTCTGGAAATCACTTTGCTCACACTGACCAACGTTACCTTAAACACTATCACACATCTTACATAGTAAATAAAGCTGGAAAAAGCCAGAAAAAGCGGCAGGTGCTTCAACCCGTTCACAGACAAGGCTTCACCTACATGAACCTGACAACTGTTTTACGATCTGAAGTAGAAGCTGGCACAGGGTTACAGTGCCAGAACTGAGGAGGCGGAGGCTGACTGTCAAGTTCAGGACCACCCTGCTCTACACAGTGAGTTCCAGGCCAGCAGGGGATACCGTGTGGGAAGCCCTGCCTCATTAAATAAAAAGCTGTTATCATGGACTTGGATCACTGCAGATTTAACCTTTACCCTGAAGGAATTGAGCTGCACAAACTGCTTGAGACTCTGGAAGTTGTCATTCTTTAGAAAGAGACACAGGGATTCTTCGTAGGATCTGTAGAAGCTCTTCATTAACATAAAATTTCTAAGTCTGGTCTGCGGAGTCTACCATGAGCAGAACCGAATTTAATAAAATACTTCTAAAGTCCATTAACACAACCCCTTTTTTTTCACTTATTGTATGAGTAAAGTTCTCTGGCCTTCACATGCATGAGCTTTTCTTTCACTTGCTAAATCGAGATTATCATTTTTTTGGAGAGGAGGGTTCTCTATGTAGCCCTGGCTGTCCTGGAATTCACTATGTAGGTCCTGCTTTTGACTCCCTCTCAGGAGCTGGGATTAAAGGCATGAACCACCACATCCAGCAAGACTGCAAATTTGGACCTACAAATCTTACGTATGTTTAATTTGTACCTAGGCAATTCAATTTAGTAAAAAAACGTTATGAATGGCACTGTTTTCATAATTCAGTTTCCATGTGTTCACTGATAATACAGGGAGTGTAACGGAGTTCTGCATGTGGCTCCTTCATCCTGAAGTTTAACTCCTGCTTGGAGTTTATTGTTTTGGTTTGGTTTGGTAATTCCCTTGAGACTTTTCTTTTGAAGGACTTCTGGATAAGATGGCAGAACAGAAGCCACATTGGATGGAATTGCTGATTACCGTTTGGGAATTAAAGGGAATATGAATATTTTATCACTCCATCTGCTACTTTTCCAAGTCCTGAAATAGATTTGATCAACACCTCAACAAGTCTCTTCTGCCACGGGACCCATGAATGGATTTGCTGCAGCCACTCAGCAGCCACCCCTCCCAAAGCTGCTTCCCCGAAGCAAACTGGGCTAAAAGACTCCTGCCAGGAAATCTACAGAACAGCAGTGGCAGGAATTTCACATAAGGGTTCCCAGTGACTGCTCCCAGGTATATGCCACCAACACCCAAATGAGGAAAGACAAAACTGCCGAGGGAGAGAAACCAGTCTCCCAGCAACCCTGTGGGAGGGCAGCAACTTCAGCTCTCCACAGCCACTGTGGAGAAAATGCCCTGCACAAGGGGAGCTGAAAGCCATCATGGTGGAGATGAGACCATTTCAGAGCAACAGGGAACACAACCTAGACCAAGACCGAGGAGGCGAAGTCACAGAGCAGCGCAGAGAACACATTCAGGTTCGTGCTCACTTTTTTCTTACATGTCTTCTCAGCTTTCCTGCCCCACGACAGCCATTTCTTATCCACCTAGTACAGGAGGACACTACAACAGGCCAACACTGTCACCTACTGTTCGTATCACACACTCTTACACTCTTCCTTTCTCTTTTCTGACACCTAGAAATCTATTCCACTTGGCGTTGCATCTTCCAAAGTCCACAACTGACTTGGTTTAATCACTAAGTATATCTTTGTTTCTTTTTAGTCTACAACTAAACCAAATCCCACATACCCACCCCATTTTCCCTTTGCCTTAATGATTATCACTCCTATGTATGCCCCTCGCCTCTGCTTCCCATCTAACAACCAGTAATGCTTATTGCCAGTCTCACAGAGATTGATTGTTTACGTCTTTTCTTCTCTGCACTCATGCTAGCATTGTTAGTGTTCATAGTGCAACTGAGGTCCATTTGCTTTCTAAATTAACCCCTACTAATAAGTGTCTTGTGGTCACTGGCAATGACATTACTGAAATACTTTAATTACTCCGGGGCAGAGAGTAGATAGAGCCTGGTGCCTAGAACAACAGTCTAACAGATGACAACATCATAACTGTATCACAACCTAGTCTCTTGCAAACATTGTAAACACATCCACTTAAAGAAGAAAGGCAATATGAATTAAAATAACAGCAAATCCTAACCTGCATTCTAACCCCAGATGAACAAATTTCAGTGCAAAATGTAAGTAACATAAATAACAAGACAATTTCCTCTAAAATCACCAACCCCCTTCTAATAACTCCTAACTAGTATTAATTATGTAGATGAAATTCTGGACGTCAGGACCAAAAAGAATGACTATAAATATGGCAACATTATAAGGAGGACTCCACTATTTTCTACAAGAACACAAACAAGCTGTTGAATGAAATGAGGAAGCCAATCCACAACATAAAAGGAGAGTGAAGAGATAAATACTGAAGAAAACCTAAACCAAAACGACAATGGAAATGAGAAGAACAATAGGTCAAGTAAAAAATCCAGGGTCAGTTCACCAACAGAACGGGTCATGTGGAGCCAGACTATCGGGGTATGGACTCTGTTCTCTGGTGTGAACCTAGGGTCCTTTCTCTGGCTGTCCCTCCCTCCCTCCCTCCCTTCCTCCCTTCCTCCCTCCCTCCCTTCCTCCCTCTCTCCCTCCCTCCCTCCCTCCCTCCCTCCCTCCCTTCCTCCCTCCCTCCCTTCCTCCCCTTCCTTTTATTTCCTCAAGACAGGGTTTCTCTGTGTAGCTCCAGCTGTCCTGGAACTCTCTCTGTAGACCAGGTTCTGCTACCCCTTCTAACCCTTCCTTCTAGCCCCATCCACTCCTCTATGACACTCACAGATCCATGCACCAATTTTCTACCAGGGACCCCCCAGTGGCTACACCAATCTACAACCTAGCAGGCAACCTTTATTGTCATCCGGTCCAGCTTCTCCAGAGTTACTCCTTAGTTCTGCTGAAGCTCCCAGCACAAGTCTCTCCTCTCAGCCCACTTCCTTCCCTCTTGGTATGGACCCAGGGTCCCCTGGTTCTTTCCCATCACCATGTTCAGCCCATCTCTATTCCTCTGTGATACCCTCTGACCCCCAGAAACACTTTCTACCAGGGACCCTAAGGTCACCAACTTGACTAGGGTCCAAAGTAGGCAACAAAAAATAAAGAAGGGAACATCCATGCAACAAAGCCTAGACGAGATTCAACAGCAAGAAACACTTCAAATGCCTCAACCAAACAGAAACATGAATAGTGAAGAAGTTATGCCTCCTACAGAAGGCAGCAACCCTATGGCAATAAGCATTAAGAAAAGCAACTTAGCTCAAGAACAAGACAAGGGCTTCAAAATAGCAATTATGAGTATGTTCAAGGGCTTAAAGAGGGTCTAAATAAATGCCTTAATGAAGACTATAAAAACAGAAGCAAGCAGTTGAACAAAATAATGAAAACATTTCAGATATGAAAGTAGAATTTAACAAAGAAACAGAATTACTAAAGAAAAATCAAACTAAAATACAATTGGAAGTGAAAAATTTAGGACGCCACACAAAAACCGCACAGGTAAGCCTCACTAAAGACATAAAAGAAAGAATTTCAGGTCTTAAAAACAAGGTAGAAGAAATGGATAGCCCAGTCAAATAAAATGCTAAATCTTAAAAAAAAATACAGACACAAACATCCAGGAAATCTGAGACACTATAAACAGACCAAATGTACAAATGATAGATATGAAAGGAGAAGAAACCCAGGTCACAGGCACAGAAAATATTTTTAACAAAAATTATATTAGAAAATTTCCCTAATCTAAAGAAAAAGATGCCTATCAAAGGTACAAGAAGCACACAGAACACCAGATATATAGGACCAGAAAGGAAAGAAATTCCCCATGACACAATGAGCACAAGACTAAATGCACAGAGCAAAGAAAGGATATTAAGAGCTGCAAGGGAAAAGTAATAATACAAAGGCAGGCCCATTGGAGTAACCCCTGACTTTCCAGTGGAGGCTCTGGAAGCCAGAAGAGCCTGGGGAGATGTTCTACAAACTCTGAGAGACCACAGATGTCAGTCCAGACTACTATACACAGCAAAACTATCAATCATAATCAACAGAGAAAAATATTGGATAATAAAACCAAAACCAAGCAATTTCTATCTACCTGTTTAGGTCTACAAAAGGTACTAGGAAGAAAACTTCCATCTCAAGAGGTTAACTAGAAGGAGACAATGAATCAATAATCCCAGAACAGGAAATCAGAAGAGGGATAAAAGCACCTACACCATAACAAAATAGCAGGGATCAGCAAACATGGCTCACTGGTAACTCTCCACACTAACGGTCTCAGTTCCTGAGTAAGAAGACGCAGACTAACAGACTGGACTAGGACCTGGGATCCATCTTTCCGCTGCAGTCCTGAATCACATTTCACCATCAAGGACAGACATCACCTGTGGATAAAAGTTTGGGAAAAGTATTCTGAGTTAATGGGCCTAAAAATCAAGCTGATATAGCCATTTTAATATCTGACAAAATAAGACTTCAAACCAAAAACTAATCAGAAGAGATAGGGAAGGACGCTACATTTGTGTTAATGGAAAACTCCATCATGAGGAGGTTACATATCTAAACTCTTATGCACCAAATGCAAGAGCACCCAAGTTCATAAAACAAATATTATTATGGCTAAAATAACATATTTACCCCCACACGGACGGCGGGTGCCTTCAGTGCTGCCCTCTCACCAACAGACAGATCACTAAGAAGAAAACCGTAGATAAAGAAGTGCTGGGCTTAAATAAAGTCATGAAACAGACAGAGTATCTCATCTAAACATTAAATATACTTTCTTCTCAGCAGCTCAGGGAACTTTCTCCACAACTGACCACACAATGGGACACAAAGCCAGTCTCAATAGACACAGGAAAAATGAAACAGTACCTTGTATCTTATCTGGCCACCAAAGATAAAAAAGTTGAACAAAACAGCAGAATGTATTTAAACTTCTGTGAACTAAACAACTCACTACCAGATGAAAAGTGGGTCAAGATAAAAATAAAATCAAGAAGAAAATTAAAACCTTTTAGAATTAAATAAAAATAAAAACATAATAATATACCCAAACCCATGGAGCTCAATGAAGTTCCAAGAGGAGGCAATTCACAGAACTAAGCGTCCACACCAGAAAACCCTGAGTGACCTCGAGTCAGTACTGGGCAGACATGGAGGCTCTGTAACAAAACTAAACAAAACCCCAAAACAGCAGATGGGAAGAAAGGAAAACAGGGCTGAATCGATGAAATAGAAACAAACAACACAGACGAAACACAGAGTCAACGGAATGAAGACACCAAGTAGCCGAGGCTCTCTCAGGCCCCCCACACGCAAGCTTGGCTGTGGTCACTTTCAGTTCTCACTGACAGTCATCCGTTCTTTTGTCCTTTCTGCTCTGTATCGTAACCTTTCCAGCTGCTAAAATTCAATATAAGGAAGGGCATGCCTTCTGCTCAACAAATGTCTGCCAGCCTTTTCTGAAACACGCCATCCTCCCTAGGCTGTGGTATTCTCTACTCCATGTTTGCTGGGTTTGGTGCTGGAGACAGAACCCACAGAACCCAGGTCTTTGTACGTAAGTAGGCGCTATACGGTTTTCAATGATACATAAATCTTCATATTCACGGAGTTCCTCAGCCACTGACCACCATCTGTTCGCATTTTCTCTCTCTAGGGCTTAGAATACATAATCAATAAGTATAGCAAAATGTAAAGATCACAGATAAGGAACTGACATAAAGAGAGGCAACTGAGCTGTCCAGGGACAGCTCGCTGATAGGTCTCCTGAAGATCCACATCAGTCACCTCACCCTGTGGTGGCTCCTTTCGCTTTCACAAGTCAGGCTCTCCCTGTGCAGGGCCTTCCTGTCCTTCCTACGCTAGGCTCCTTTAGGTACCTTTCAGGTGGGTGTTCCATGATTGTGCTCAGAGGCCAAGACCCAGCGCCCTCCCACACTCTGGTTATAGGCACATGCCTTCAAAATGCAAGCTCCCAGGCATTCCTGGGGTCTCCAAGAGACATGGCTCTGGTTTCAGCTATGTAAAACTCCCCTTCTTTGATGGGGACTTGCCTACTTGCCCCAGCATGAGGTCAGGACAAATGGAAATTTTTCCTAAATTAAGAGACAAGTTTCCAACCAGAAGGTAGAGCCAGCAGAAAAGATGAAGATAAAAAGAAGGAGGATAAAGGTAAAAACAGAGAGGGGAGGAAGGAGTATCCAAACCCATGCAACTGCTCGTTCTGTCTGTCACGTCTACCCTCAGAGGCTCTGAACTCATCACTTGAGATGCTTCTAAAACTTATCCAAAGTGCAGTTGGGGGCAGGGACTCAAGGAACTCCAGCATGACTGCCATGTTCCTCTTGAGCACAGATCGACTAGCTGTGACCTGGCTTGGAGATGTCCCAGCACAACTGCCCGAGAGGACGCTAACTGCGGTGCTACGAGCTAACAGTGGCGGGATCGGTAACAGCTACTGCTTAGTCGACAGAAAGCAGGGTTTAGTGACCTTAGGCTTAGTATTATCCTAGACCCACAGTTCTTCCTGTCTTGCCTCAAAAGTGTTAACATTATCTTATTGTGACGTTAGGCCACTACAGCTGCAACATTATGTCTACATTTAAGGAGAAAAAGAGGACAGTGTGGTTCTGGTTCTATATAGTCACTGAGAAAGTAAAATCTTCTCCAAACACTAATCTACTGTCTGGGTCACAAAGTCTTACTGTTTCCCAAGTAAAAGGCAGCATGAAGAAGGTACTAGGAATGGCTGAAATCCTTTCACAATCTCTCCAGAGAGAGAGAGAGAGAGAGAGAGAGAGAGAGAGAGAGTGAGAGAGAGAGAGAGAGAGAGAGAGAGAGAGAGGACACACACACCAAGGGTTGTGAATGGCCTAGAACCATTTGCATCTGTGACAATATATATAGACAATCCATATATACATACATAGAATAAAGTTTGGAATGGCCTGAATCCACCTACATTCCTCTGAGTACACTGGACATAACACGTAGCCATGTTTTCGTCTCTGTCTCAGCAATTTTGCGTAGTGTTGGAGAATTCTCATCGGAGAGGGAATAGAGGAGACAGAGTCCGGCAATATGGAACCTGCGGTGTCACAGCTCAGCAAGAGTCACAACTGACAGATAAGAATCTCTGCTCTAGGAGAATCTTCTAAGTTGAGAGACACTGAGTTTGTTAACCAGAAGGCAGAACCAGGAGAAAAGATTAAACGAAAGAGAGAAAGTATGAGGATGAAAATAAGAGAGAGGCTTATATAAGGGCCAGGTCTAGGACCATTCCGAAAGGCCTCAGAGCTAACAAGAGCTCCTGGAATCTCTATAACCTAAGTTATCTAAGTACAGAAGTTCACAAAAATTTTAAAGATTATTAGAGTCTTGAAATCAAGAGATTACTATTTTGATTACAAAGATGTCAGTAAGAAAATAATTTCAAAATGAACTAGGAACGTGAGGGTAATCTACCCATAACATCTATCGCCCCACTGGTCACCAGGGTTGCCTGGCTAGGTGGGTATTCCTTCCCCTTCACCAAGGCATGAGTGTCCCTCCTGAAGCTACACTCAGTCTTACAGAACAACTGACCAAAGTAAGTCCCCTGCTAGAACCTCCAAACAAAACGATTCAGGATGTGCACATGTCCTGTAGACAAGTTCCTATATACTTCATGTCCCCTCTAAATAATTATATCCAGTGTAATATAAATAATACCTGAATAGTTGTTATGCTGTACTGTGGAATATTTCTTTACACTGTGTGAATATATGTCACTGTGATTGGGTTAACAGAGAATTTGACTGACATGTCCAGTAGGGATGCAGTTTAAAAAAAGGATTTTCAATTTATGATTAGTTGGGGAACCTATGGCTACAGAGAGAAGGTACGTATAGAAATATGTACACAGATCTTTATACATAGAGTCTAATCCAAGTTTTAATACATGTATGCACACTTACTATGTGCTGGATGAGGATACAGAAGTGCCAACTACAACATGAAAAGGCTAGAAAGAATGCTGACCCTGTGACCACAGCGTGGTTGCCGCCATGGCTGTGATGAATGACTATACCTGTAAGTTCATGAGCTGTGAGGTTGATTTTCCTTGGAGGCACAAGGCCTGAGCAATAAATGCATGCAGATCCTCCAGGGAAAGAGTGTCCACCTGAAAAGCACAGAAAAGGGCCAGTGTGAGCCTACTGAACATGAACAACATTTGTTATAAATGTACAACACACATATACACTCAAACACAGAGAGAGTGCACACACAGGAAAACATACATGAGCACACACATGCACAGTGACTGAACAAGCGCAGCCTCTGCTCTCATCATCCAGAACCCTATGACAGAAAGTTCTCCCCAGGGTAACAGTGCAATCCCTTCTGCATAAAATGTCAAAAATGGATGACTCAGAGGCTGAGGTGGGGTGGCCAGGACTGGGGGAGCAGCCAACTTCTACAATCCTGGATGTCACCATTGTTCTTGGATCCAGCTATATAAATAAGGCCCTTCCGTTCTCTGGAATCAGAAAGTGGGAGAAAAACAAAGGGAGACAGAGAACTGAGAGAAACACAGACAGGGAGGGATTAACGCAGCCTTTAAAACAAGTCACATGACCCAGAGATACGTTGTCTCTGCCTACTCGATCTCATATGCTCCCGAGGGTGACGCTGTCTGAGCTGAGCCACTATGACAGTAAATCTTCAACGCCATCTCTACTGGACTTCGTATCGCCATAGAAACACACTCCTTCTAGGAAGACTACCCTTCGAGAAAAGACCCATGATGAATGTGGTAGTACCATCCCATGGGTGGAGGTCCTGGACTGATAAAGAATGAGCTAAGCAGGCTGGCAGTGCTCCAGAGACAGAGGCAGGCAGATCACCGAGAGTTCAAAGTCAGCCTGGTCTATAGCATGAGTCCCAGGATAGCCAGGGTAATATAGAGAAACCCTGTGTCTTGAAAAACAAAAAAAGAGTAAGCCAAGCATCAGCTTCCTGACTGTGAAAGCAATGTGCCTTCCCGCCATGAAGAACTGTAAACAAACCCTTTCTCACTTAGGTGCCTCTGTCAGGTATTTGACACAGCAATGAGAAAAGCAACTAATAAAACTGTCAGCTCTCTAGGGCTGTGATAAAACAGCATGGCCAGAAGCAGCTTGGAGGGGCTATTTTGCTTAAACTTCCAAATCATAGGCATCATCAAAGGAAGTCAGAGCACCTAAGGGGCAGGAACTGAAGCAGAAGCCATGAGGGGAGCTCCTTATTAGCCTGCTTCCCATGGCTTGCTCTGCAGGCTTTCATAAGGAACCCACAACCAACCCAGGGATGGCATCACCAACAGGGAGCTGGACCCTCACACAATCCTCAGTCAACAACAGGTCCCATGGGCTTGCCCACAGGCCAATTTGGTGGGGACTTTTCTCAACCAAGGTTTCCTCTTCCCAAAAGACTCTAAATTCACATAAAAGTAGCTAGCACAATAACCACACTTGTAATCAAGTAGAAGCACTGCGTCAGCTACTTATGAAGCAATTCTACTCTTACACAAGAGCTCTTTTTGTGGCGGCAAAAACTATGGGGAAAGAAACAGGGCAATGATAAATCCATCGGAGAAATTTAACCCAGAGCACCTGGAAAATAAAATTCTTGTATACCTCCTTCAGATAACATGGCCCCCCAAACCAGAAAGAACACAGGCTTTATGCTACCCTAACCCTGAAACTCTCCTGGAAAGATGCCATTCAGCACTTGACCTAGGCACACGCTACCACTCAGGTGAAGACACACGGACACGCTGATTTGTCACTACCCTCTTCCAAGTCTATTCCAAAAGAGGCATCACCATTATTTGAAAGCAAAATCCTGCAAATGTAGGATCTGTGACAAAGTCAGGCACACATACAGATTTTAAAATCCGTAAACAGCTATTTCTGCTTAGACTGAGGTTCATTACTATTTAATTCTACCCACAATTAGTCAGGTTTGTGGAGGCTGTTCTTAAAACGCCCGCCTAGCTGGGTGGTGGTGGCACACGCCTTTAGCCATTAATCCCAGCACTCGGAGGGCAGAGGCAGGTGGATCTCTATGAGATTAATGTCAGTCTGATCTACAGAGTGATTTCTAGGACAGGCTCCAAAGCTACAGAGGAATCCTGTCTTGAAAAAACAAAACCAACTAATGAATCAACCAACCAAACAAACTGAAAGACACCTAGGGGGCGGTCTAACTCTCAAGAGTCTTTATCACAGGTAACTAAGTATGATTGTTAATTTGATGGGGTTTAGAATTCCCTGTGAAAAGAAGCCTCTGGTACGCCTGTGGGGGAGTTTCTAGTCTGGCTTAACTGACTGGGAAGAACGGCAAATGTGGGTGGAGATCCCAGGCTGAACAAACAAGGGAAAGCTGGGCACCAGCTTTTGTGCCCCTGCCACCATGAGCTCCGTCAGGATAGACTGTTCCCTCAAACTGGGAGCCAAATAGTTCTTCCTTAAGTTTCTTTGGCCAGGAATTTTACTGTAGCAATAACCAAAGTAACTATTATAAATGCTTTTCCAAGATTTCCTCAAATCAGACTTAAGTTTTGTTAAATAGACTGGAGTAAATCAAACTAGGTTCAACTCAGTTTTCATATAATGAATGATATGCAGTTTTACTCCATGCTGCAACCAGAAAGGGCTAAGTCAGGAGACTGGACTCAGGGGTTAAGGGCATTTGTTGTTCTTGCAAAGGATCAGAACTCTGTTCCCAGTACTCACATGGGGGCTCACAACCACCCATATCTCCAGTTCCAGGGGAATGCAATGCCCTCGTCTGACCTCCATGGGCACCAGGCATACAAAGTGGTACACATGCATACATGAAATGGGTGGAACAAAACACTCATACACATAAAATGAAATAAATATTTTTAAAAAGTTAATTTAAGCTCAACTACATAAAACCATGATATTTTATGATTTATCTATCCTTCTAGGTCTACCACAGTATTCTGAGAGGACAGCCAATCCTGAGAATAAACACACACCACCACTGACTTGCTGACTTAACCTCTCCATGAGGATCTTGAAGGGTTAGTTGTGTTCTGTGGAAAGAGGTCATGAGAACTGGCCCACAGAAAGGCTCACAGTGCTCCAGGAGGGTGAGGCCAGACTGTGTGGCAGCTGTACCACCTGTATATTTGTTATATATGAGAACCGTGGGCTCAGAGTTACCTGGACGAAGATGTAGATTAGGAGGCAGCACAGAGCTCTCAACGGGCTCTCGACCGCCTGCAGGTCTTCTCTCGAGGAGGAGAGGTTGAAGCAGGCTAGCAACGTGTCCAGGCGCCGGGCCTGCGCTGCTGGCTCTTGGCTCAGCCACAGAACTTCCAAACTAGGTGTTCCCCCTAAAAGAAAGATATTCATATAGCATGGTCCCAATTGGCTTTTGAAAGTACAATGAAGAATGATTCATCTCTCCCCTATCTGATTTACCTGGGACATCAAGGCTTAACTTAATAGAACCAGAGAGTAAATGTGGGTAGAGCTTCCTGGTTTCAAAGAAAACAAACCCACAGAGCCAGCGCATACTCGCCGACCTATCCTTTCTAATAAGTAGGTTTGTAGGGAAAGGAGGCTTTCACTTACATTCATGCTGTTTTCCAGAAAAAAAATCTTCCATTCAAGGATCCAGTAACAGGATGGCAGGCTCTGAGGAAACGCCATCTGCCCACCCCTTCAGTTGGCTCTAACCCCTCCAAATTGGTGGTTTCAACTTTTATGTACCAAAGAATCAGTTGTAGAGACTACGTGGTGCATTTTCTGGGATACACACAGACCTGCTGAACCAAGAGGTGCGTCTGAACTCACAGCACAAGATCTGTGGTTACAAATCACCTAGCAGAAAGGTAATTTTTAGTGGTCCATTTCTATACCACACAGACACAAAGAAACAATCCCAAGGGGGGAGGGGTCCTTACTGTAGACTTGACAAGGACCGACTGCTGTGAATAGGGTGACAAACAGTGCGATTCTACACAAACATGGAGGTGCTGGTCTAACAACCATGGTGGCACCCCGCCCACAGCTGTGGCTCTCTGCTGGGCACTGACCGAAAGCCTGTGCCAAAACTCCAGAGTAACTAGGGTGGAATGTCTCACATGTTCACCATGAGAACAGAGCAGCTAACCAAATGGTATCAGAAGCCAGTGAGTCCAAGGGAATTCTTTTTCCTTTGTTTCAAACACAATCATTCACTCTTCCCAGTAGTGAATTTCCCACCGTCGGGAGCTAAACAAGGCAGCAAGTCACTTGCAGTGCTGAAAAGGCGAAAATGTTTCATTTACCAAAAGCATTTTTTTATCAATATTTTAGGAAGAAGAACATTTTCTTTGGGAGAAAGAAAATGTAATTGTCACCCAAGAGACTGGTACTAAGAGACCACACTCCGAGGTCACGAAGGTGTCTGAGAATCTGTTGGACGTGACTCCCAGCGTTTATGAGGGCTGCTGCCTGTGAGACTCTGGACTAAGAATCGCTTTGTTTTAAATGGTCAAAAGGAGAGAAAAAGAAAACTTCCTAGCACAGGCAAATATAGAACCCCAACATCAATTCAAAGTTTGTCGGTTTCAGCGGAAAGTTGCTGTGCGCACCTGTGCACATGCTGTCTGTGACTTCTTCCAGTTTGACGACACAGGTTACGAGTAAGAGAGAGTCACGGCGCCGACAAAGCCGACCATGCTTACTATGAGACATTAGACGTAAAAGGCTTGCTAACCTCTGATATAAGGAAACAACGGATTTCTACCACTATAGTTATTCTAAAAGCATTTAGAAAAGCTTTTTCACTATTAAAAGTCAGATGTTGAAAATTTTAAGAAATAAAGAAATGTAAGAAAAGCAAAATACCCTACACTTTCCCATGCAGACATTCTCTTACTTTAAAACACAGAGATGAGACAGTACGAGGACTGTCACAGCCAGACCACAGTGAGGGAAGAGAGAGGTTCCCTAGCTGCTCCAGACAGTAAAGACCATTTCTTCAACAAATGATATTTCTGGATACATAAAAACTTAATGTTAAAAAAAATTGGAGATTTGGAAAATCTATCCAGAATCACAGACACTGCAAGTGAAGAACGAGGGACTCCCTGACTGAATAAGCATGACATTTCTCACTCGGGGACTCAACTCTAAGAGATAGCTTTAGACGGTGAGGTGAAGATTTGAAGCATCTCTCCAACAAAGGAGAGAGTCCTGGGGCACCCTGTGGGAGACAGCTGACCTTGCATCTACGAGGGCCTATGTTTAATCCTCAGCTACCAACAGAAATCAAAACTGACCAACAACTGCTCTTTTCATTCCTTGTCACAGTTTCCTCATCACCCTGGGTACTGATGTCTACAATCCAGGTCAGTTTATACGGAGCAGACCCACGTAACAGACAGCCAGCTACTGCCTTGGAAGAACCTGCAGTAAAAAGATTATGCATCGAGAGTAGTGGCAGAGGCAGAGTCAGGTGTATCTCTGTGAGTTCAAGGTCAGCTTGGTCTACATAGAGAGATCCTGTCTCAAGAAAGGAAAAAGATCAGGCCAGCAAACCGAGATTTAAGAGTGCAAAGACTAAGAGCTGGTATTTAGCTTTCTGGCAGATAGAGGCCTAGCACACAGGAAGTCCCTGGGTTTAAATCCCAGCTCTGTAAAAGAAATGCAAAGATTTTTTCCACAAAATCACTGAAGGTCAAATGGGAAAACAAGAGAACCGAGGAAGGGGTTCTAAGGAGGTTTTCATGAAGAAGGGACAGGTACATGCGGCCTGAATACTGTTGGAAGAATGCATCTGGAGCTGCAAGCAGGCAGCAAAGAGCACGTGCCAAGCTCCTCTTCCTTTCTTCCCATCCCACTGACAGATGGCGAGATTTCACCTGGTGTTCCCTTTATTTACACATGAAAGTCAAACACCACATTAGCTGTCTGACAGGCAACTGAAAAAACAAAAGGTTATTTCAGCTCACAGTTTCAGAGGATTTCAGGACATCACAACCATGATAGCAGCAGGAGCGGCAGCTACTCACACTGCTACCCGCGAGTTGTAGACACATAAACTGAAGCAGGTAAGGCCCACATTTAGTGACCCACTGCTCCAGGCAGATGCTACCTCCTAAAGTACCCACAGCACCACTATCCCAGGACCAACTGTTGCAGATACGAATGAACCTATGGGGCAGTTCAGATTTAAGTGGAGAACGCGAAGACAATCTTCCAGATGACAATGGCTTCTGATAATGTGGTACAATGGTGGGTACCAAAGACCCGACTGGAAACAAGGCAGGCCCGGCTCACAGCTGGGAGCAGCAGGAACTAACTGAAGGACATGAACACTGCTACAACAGAGCTCCATGAAGAAGTTAGACGTGAGCTAAGACTGAAGAAAGGATCAGCTAGTGTGGAGAGACAGTCAGAGATGGGAACTGTCTCAGGGCATTAGGATGGAGCCTGGAAATAAAGTGGAGGTGTGCACAAAGGAAGCTGTGACCACGGGTACGACAGAGGACTCGGCTGAAATGGGAGCTGATGGAAAACATCAGGGGGAATAGGGGTGGGCAGGCCAATCCTAAGAGAAGCTGAGGTGGTATTCCCTACACTAGAAAACAGAGGCATCCATTGCAAAGAGTGGATCTGCATTGGGCCTCACAGGCACCAGCACAGAGCCCAGAACTGTGGGCAACAGTGCAGATGAATGGACAGACTGCTTCTCTGGCCCCTGGTCCTCCAATGCTGTGGACACAGAGGTGACAGGCGGACACAGGGGTGACAGGCGGACACAGGGGTGACAGGCAGACACAGGGGTGACAGGCGGACACAGGGGTGACAGGCGGACACAGGGGTGACAGGCGGACACAGGGGTGACAGGCGGACACAGGGGTGACAGGCGGACACAGGGGTGACATGTCAGCAGGAAAATAAAAGCAAATATGGAACTGGCATGCTCCATTCTCTCCTCCCAACTCAGTGTCTTTTTGTAAGAGTAACAACAACAGTATAACCTGGTAACTCAGAAGTACAATACTGGGCCCACCTGACTGTACCCAATTAGAAAATCTTGGGAGTCAGTCAGCAATTGTGCCTTGCATTTGGGCCAAGAGATTCTGATCCTTGCAAAGTCTGAATACCACCCAGCATCCTTAGGTCCTCTACAGCGTAAGGCATACTTACCAGGGATTAGAAATGAAGCCTGGAAAAGAAGAGACTACAGAGAGCCACTAGAGTAAAAATCCACACCCCAAATCTCTCTTTCAAAAATTTAATATGTGTGTGTGTGTGTCTGTGTGCTTGTGTGATGTGCACGGAGGAGTCCACCAGATCCCCAGAACTGAAGTTACAGATTGTTGTGAGCTGCCATGTGGGTGCTGGGAGCCAATGCCATGTCCTCTGAAAGAGTGCTGTTATCTGCCAGGCTCTCCCCCGACTTCAAAATCTCTCTCTCTCTCTTTCGAAGGGCAAAATTTTTATTATATTTATGTTCAACAGAAAACTCAGCAGTGTACATTTAACCCGGTTTGGTGGAGAGGTCTGTATCTTTTCCAGCTTGGCAATTAAAGGCACAGATTCTTGGACCTAGGATGTTGCCTCTCAGAAGATCTAGTTATATCTGCCATTGTAATTAGTTCTGGTAGCTTCCACAGTGTAGCCAGAGTTACTCTGTTTTCAGAGTTAACCTGTGTGAAGGCAATGATGGTGCATGTCTTCCTGTGGACGAGTGCCCAGTCTGGCTTTCTCCTTGGGATCCAGTAGGGGACACTATCTTGCAACACAGAACAGGCAAAAGATCACCAACACAATGGGGTCTACATCAAGAGTGATCACTGCCGGCTGAGTGATGGTACCGACCCCCTACTCAGAGGACAGGCGGTCTCTCAGTGCGGTTGCCCCCTTAGCTGGCAGCTTTTTTCTTGGCATGAGTCAATCGATTCTTCTGCTTTTCTTGCTAAGTCTTTGGCCTGTGTTTGTGCGCAAGCTCAGGAAGCTGGGCAGATGTTTGACGGTCCAGGGCCTGGGTGAATTGCAGGAGGTACTTACAGCCATTTGTAGCCCTTTGCTACTGCGGATGAATGGATTGGGGCGGGATCTGTTTGGGGCAAGATATCTTATCTAAGGCCAAAGTTCTTGGGTCTCTTCTCAAATAGGATCCACCATCATTTTGGCCTCCTGCTTCTTCACAGCAGAGGTCGCTGGGGCCTCTTTCTTCCCCTTAATCTTTTCTTCTAGCATTTGGTGGAGTGGAAGAAAGAGCCCCGATCCCCTAATGTCTGAGAATTTCATTTCCAAATGCAATCAATAACTTGTTTAGTCAGGAAACACCAGATGTCCATGCACACTGAGTTCGTGGCTTTCTGGAGCCGTGGTGTGACACACACCACACGCCAAGGGTTTGTCTTCATGGCTTTCTGGAGCTGTGGTGTGACACATGCAACACGCCAAGGGTTTGTCTTCGTGGCTTTCTGGAGCCGTGGTGTGACACATGCCACACACCAAGGGTTTAACTCTAGGCATCATAAACGGATACTCCAGAATATGTGACCTCCGATGCATCTACACAAAGGCTTTTGTTACAGGAATTTTCTCTCCTTCTCTCATAGGTCTCTAGTATAATTTTTACCAGGGTAGGGTGTGTTTTGAAGGATACCCAGATTAATTCTTTTCAATAGTAAGATTTAAGAAAAATGACTAACTGGCTGACAAGCTGCCCAAAAATGAGATTTTTTTTTTTTAGTTAAATAACTGTACTTTATAAAAAGTATGTTTTTGGAGTGAGGGGATGGGAGAGGGGTAGAGAGAGGAGAGAAGGGAAAAAGGGAAGGGTTGGGGAGAGCTTGGGGGAATGGGACAGTTGAGATGGAGGAAGGTATATATGGGAGCAGGGAAGAAGATATTTTAACTGAGAGAGCCATTTTGGAGTCTGGAGGGGTTCCCAGGAGTCCACGGGGATGACCCCAGTTAGGACCCTGGGCAGTGGAGGAGAAAGTGCCTGAACTGGCCTTGTCCCATAGCCACACTGATGAATATCCTGAATATCACCATAGAACCTCCGTCCGGCGAAAGATGGACATAGAGACAGAGACCCACACTGGAGCATTGGACTGAGCTCCCAAGGTCCAGTTGAAGAGCAGAAGGAGGGAGAAGATGAGCAAGGAAGTCAGGACCACAAGGGGTTGATTCACCCACTGAGATAGTGTGTCTGAGCTAATGAGAGCTCACCAACTCCAGCTGGACTGGGACTGAACGAGCATGGGATCAAACTGGACCCTCTGAATGTAGCTGACAATTGGGGCAGACTGAGAAGCCAATGGTAATGGCACTAGGATTTGTCTCTACTGCATGTACCAGCTTTTTGGGATCCTATTCTATTTGGATGCATACCTTCCTAAGCCTGGATGTAGATGGGGGGGGGGGGGGTTGGACTTCCCACAGGGCAGGGTACCCTGCCCTCTCTTAAGACTGGAGGGGGAGGGAGAAGGGAGTGTGGAGGAGTGGGAGGGAAGTGGGAGGAAGGGAGGAAGTGAAAATTTTGATTGGTATTATTTATAAAGTAATAAAAAATAAAAATAAATAAAAAGTGCACCTTTAAAAATTGTCATTGAATATTTATATAGACAATGACATGTATATTATTTTTTATGTATATAGGTGCTTTGTCTGCATATACACCTGCAGATCAGAAGAGAACATCAGATTGTGAGCTGCCAAATGGGTGTTGGGAATTGAACTCAGGACCAAACTGTTTTTAGAGGTGATCCACAAGCTGCAGAGGCACGTGATTTCCCACGGGTAGCATACGTTCAGGACACAGAAATCTTTCCTGACCTAGGTGTATCGTGTCAGGGCAGAAGGAGCTAGAACAAGAGGTCAGGATCAGAATGAGTCAAATACAGCTTTTTCATGAGTCTTCGGAGATGCTCTGCTGTAAGCCCGGGGTAAGTCAGATGTCCTTATGTTTCCTTATGCGCTGAACAACACTTGACAGTTATTCAATAGAACCAACCAAGAAAACAAGTGTACTCAGTCATCTTCCCTGGGTTTCTGAGATAAAGGTTTACTTACAATGACTCAAAAACAACACTGAGAAGACCACCTATTTTCACGTAAAGACTGTCTAGTTCTGCAGACAGGCATGGTTATTTCAGACTCAACCCTCAAGACACAAGACCATAAATGAGAGGGGAGGAAACTGGAGAGCGTGGCAGCTCATGGAGGAATACATGTACTCCTTGTGCTGGGGAATGATAGTAAATCCCTTCCTGTGCTACGAAAACCACCTTTCACAACGCATTACTGAGTGGAATACTGTGCATACACACACGCGCACACAAACACGGGAATACAGGGACTATACCCATCGTTAAGCTCTCTGAATACAGCAGACCAGGGCCGCAGACCACTTAAGCCCCTGTAACAAAACACCACTCACTGGGCTACAGCAGCAAAGCTGTTCCTCAGGAGTCTGGAAGCCTGAGACCAATGTCTGTCG